CATTTGTTTTTTACAAGTGTGTCTGCTCATTTAAAGAAATAATTGTACAGATTTGGGTTAAATTTGTACAAAGGCAAGATATAATCAGTTAAATGTTGTTTTCAGTTATTTTTGAATTTCAAAGAAATTGTGCATTTTCACATCCATTTGTTTTCAACGACCTTTGGCCAAGTTTTAATCAATTTTGCCTTCTAAACATTTTCTGTTTGTATCATTTCTCAAGCGCTTCTACTGAACATATGAACATCACATCTGATGTGTGACTGCTGCAAATAAGTTTTGCAAGTTGATAAAAAATTGCTGACTTTTGACTGTCACATGCATCCTTCTGTCTGTTATTTTCTGTGCATGCCTGCCTGTTGTTACATCACACAAATCATGATACATGTGAATATCACTTTGTTTTATTTTGTTGACCTTCAACTGACAGCCATTAATTGTCCCAAAAAATCAACAATTGGACATGTCATTGATTTTCTGGGGCATGTCCTGACCAATTTCATTCAAACTTAGTCTTTATACTTCAAGCACATTTGTATTTAATATGCTAAATACTATCCCAATATTTAAACATAATCTGACCATACCATGTTTTTCATTGTTTTCACTAAAAACGTGACGTGACATGTCATTGCCAATGACTTGTGGTATTTACTATGAGTCATCATATTCAAACAACTGTTTTTCACATTGGCCTTAACCAAACATGTATGAAATCTTGATTATTTTGTACAATTACTGGTCAAGACACCTTGCTACATTAGTACTAAGTGTTTATTTTGTTTTCAGATATGAGGGAACCAGTATATGATTATGACGCCCCACCACTCTATACAGCACCACAGAGGAAATGGCCGCACAAAAAACGAATAGAGTACCTTGACAAATACATTCCTCCCAAGTGATTGTCATAATGGTGTGTAACTATTGTACAAGAAAACTGGTATCCATGTGGATGGACATCTACCACTTTGTCCATATACCATCAAGGAAGACATAAGCTGTGAAATTAGATTTAAAAAAATTGGGATACTTTGGAACGTTAAAATCCTGTATCACACATAGCATTATGCAAATACTGTAAAATAATCATGGAGCATTTGCATTAACAGCATATAACATACTATGACAGTGTTATTCATGTGTATTTAATCGATTTGAACACAAGTGTAGTCAATTCTATTGTTTTTGGTCATAGTTGTGTAATAAAGTGTTTAACAAAATGTTTGTGTATTGTCGTTTTAATTTTTTTTTATTTTTGGTTAGAACCAGTATGCTATGCACTGAACCCTTATCCACATTGTTAAAGTAACTTTGAGTGCTGTACTCCAATATTATTCTCTTCTGAAAATGGGGACTGTGAATGTTGTAAAATACAAACTATTCGCTACTCAAGAGAAATTATAGTATGCATAACATAGAGTTAGAATGTGTTCGCATGATACCTTGTGTATTGTAGTGTTGAGCAATCTTCCCTGAACTATATATTTGGACTAAAGTTATGGAAGCAAACTCCACAGACTGGTTTATTTGTAGAACGTTTTGGAATATAACAATGTCATTTACAAAGTTATTATACATTTTGCTTGTAAGATAAGCTCTTGAATGCCCAAGTCTGTATGCAGTACACGAGAAGCTTGGGGAAAAGATAACTAATAATGATAGTTTACTGTTTTCTTGGTATATTTTTCAAGCATGAAATGCAATAGTGTGTTTCTCCAAGTGGACAATTCATGACCATTTTTTGAGAAGGCAATTGTTCGTCTATGATAATACTTACTCATTGATGTATTCATTGATGTATATTGATACATATCCACTGATGTATAATAAACCCATTCATTGATGTATAACACTTATTCATTGATGTATAATAAAACCCATCCATCGATGTATTTCTATCTATTCATCGATGTTTAATAACACCTATCCATCAATGTATAATGAAACCTATTCATTGATGTATAATGATACCTATTCATTGATGTATAATAAACCCATTCATTGATTTATAATGATACCTATTCATCGATGTATAACACGTATCTATTGATGTATAATGCCACCTATCTATTAATGTGTAATGTTACCTATTCATTGATATATAATAACACCTATCCATTGATGTATAACGATACCTATTCATTGATGTACAATTACACCCATTCATTGATGAATAATGATACCTATTCATTGATGTTTAATAACACCTATCCATCAATGTATAACAATACCTATTAATTGATGTACAATTACACCTATTCATTGATGTATAACGATACCTATTCATTGATGTATAATTACACCTATCCATTGATGTACAATTACACCTATTCATCTATACATGAATGTATAATAAAGCCTATTCATGGATGTAGAATGTTACCTATTTATTGATGTATAACACCTTTCCATTGATGTATAATGATACATATCCATCAATGTATTTCTATCCATTGATGTATAATAAACCCATTCATTGCTGTATAATGATATCTATCCATCGATGTATAACACTTATCTATTGATGTATAAAGCCACCTATCTATTGATGTGTAATGTTACCTATTCATTGATATATAATAACACCTATCCATTGATGTATAACGATACCTATTCATTGATGTACAATTACACCTATTCATTGATGAATAATGATACCTATTCATTGATGTTTAATAACACCTATCCATCAATGTATAACGATACCTACTCATTGATGTATAATTACACCTATCCATTGATGTATAACGATACCTATTCATTGATGTACAATTACACCTATTCATTGATGCATAATAACATCTATCCGTGGATGTATAATAACACCTATCCATGAATGTATAATAAAGCCTATTCATGGATGTAGAATGTTACCTATTCATTGATGTATAACACCTTCCCATCGATGTATAATAACACAAATTCATTGTTGTATAATGGTACCTATTTAGTGATGTATGTTACCTATTCATTGATGCATAATAACATATCTATCGATGTATAATGTTACCTATTCATCGATATATAATGATACCTATCCATTGATGTATAATGTTACCTATTCATTGATACATAATAGCACCTATCTATCGATGTATACTAACACCCATTCATCGATGTATAATAACACCAATTCATTGTTGTATAATGGTACCTATCTATTGATGTGTAATGTTACTATTCATTGATGTATAATAACACCAATTCAGTGATGTATGATGATTCATATTCATTAATGCATGACACCTATTCATTGATGTATAATGCCACCTATCCATGGATGTATAATGTTACCTATTCGTTGATGTATAATAACACCTTTCCATCGATGTATAATAACACCCATTCATTGATGTATAATGCCACCTATCCATGGATGTATAATGTTACCTATTCATTGATGTATGATAACACCTTTCCATTGATGTATAATAACACCCACCCATTCATTGATGTATAATGCCACCTATCCATGGATGTATAATGTTACCTATTCATTGATGTATGATAACACCTTTCCATTGATGTATAATAACACCCACCCATTCATTGATGTATAATGCCACCTATCCATGGATGTATAATGTTACCTATTCATTGATGTATGATAACACCTTTCCATTAATGTATAATAACACCCACCCATTCATTGATGTATAATGCCACCTATCCATGGATGTATAATGTTACCTATTCATTGATGTATGATAACACCTTTCCATTGATGTATAATAACACCCACCCATTCATTGATGTATAATGCCACCTATCCATGGATGTATAATGTTACCTATTCATTGATGTATGATAACACCTTTCCATTAATGTATAATAACACCCACCCATTCATTGATGTATAATGCCACCTATCCATGGATGTATAATGTTACCTATTCATTGATGTATGATAACACCTTTCCATTGATGTATAATAACACCCACCCATTCATTGATGTATAATGCCACCTATCCATGGATGTATAATGTTACCTATTCATTGATGTATGATAACACCTTTCCATTGATGTATAATAACAGCCACCCATTCATTGATGTATAATGATACCTATTCACCTGTTTGCATGAACTAACGCTGGAGAAAATAAAGCTGATTCACTGCTTTATATGTTCTCATGTTTGGTTAAACTACTTGTTGATTAAAGCAATATAGACCATCGGGTCGACGTGACCAACACTTAATAATGTGATAATGTGAGCAATCAGATTTCAGCGTTGGTGGCCGAACATATTCTTGATAATTGCTAACATCTTATTTGAATTAAATTATGGGCAAGAAATCCATATCACAGAATATATATATTGATTGACAACCACATTATTTGAATGAGCATG